CGAACACCTTTCTTCAGACGAGACCACTCTTCAGTCCTGTCGTGATTGTCTGTGAAACCAATTGCTTACTGGCCATTGGAACCATGCCTGTGGTGACCTTCCCGAAAGAGGACATCTATACTAGCGTGATGTATCTCATGGCATGTTATTATGCCTTTCACCTCACATATCCTAAGTGTATTGCCACACTGCTCTCTGTGCTCCAGACAGAAGTCCTCTTGGATGCCATCCATGACAAGGACATGACTTCTTCATATAAAAAGGCTATGGTTGAGTGGAAAAAGTTCATTACTGAATAGGGCTGCACGGCACTATTTTTTCATTTCTAATAATGCTATATAATATTATTATGTATAATATATAATAATATATTATATATGATTTATATTAATTATTATATTAATATATTATATAATAAAATGCCAGTGTTATTAAATTAATACTGAGTGCTCATTGATACCTGCAGAAGTCCAAGCAACAAAGTCTGATATTCAACAACCAAAACAGCAGGTCTCAGTACTGACATCACTTCTTCTAGACCCCATGTTGGAGATGCATTTATACATAAGGTTTAACATCATCACATCCAATAAATGTCATGCCTTGCCTCACAAACGTTAATGCACCAACTCTCAATGAGCAAAAAACAAGATGCAAATCAAACTTTGTAAAGGATGTTGAAAGATTTTGAGGAAGAAAAAGACACTGTTTATTATGCCTGCGTGGCTTTAAAAAAGTTTTATAAGTTTTTATAACAACATGTCCCTGTTCTTGACAAGTTTGCACATTATTTGTATTTCCCAGTCAACTACCTATCAGTAGTGAGTTATTATCCTCTGGTGCCCCCTAGTGGTCGACATGGGCAGCACCACCTTCTGTCGAGGTGGAAGGTCACAACAGAAAACATGGCGGCTTCCAGGACCGCACCTGTAGTGCTGAAGGCTGTGAAAAAAATAGCGATTAACTTTTGTCCATTTGAATCCAATGTCAGGTCCACACGGTAAGAAGTGCTTGAATGTTATCTTGTTCTGCTGAAATGTCGTTTAGTGTGACTGCAGTGTGGATGACAGCAGTAATGTGTCACTGCGCGGCTACTGACAGTGTTTGCTAACAGCAGTCGCCGCCAGCAGACTTGAGGGCAGTGTACAGCATTGACTAGTGCCCTTTTATTGTGTAGGAGGAAAAGCTTACATGTAAATAAGAACTTTAACAAAGGTTAAGTGTCCTAGTAAGCTGTTCCACTAAAGTAGCAGCACAGTGTGGTTATACCGTTACGATAGGTAGAGATGGCTGAAATGTCTTAGAAGTATTGAATGGAGAGACAGAAACTAGGGCTACACCTCACCTAGAGTATAGGAGGGGTTGACCTAAAGTCCCAAACCTGTTCTGTTTAGTATTATACATGTAAAAAACAAGCATCAAATACTGCAATTTGAAAAGCTGGAACCAGAGAATGTTGTGGGGTTTTTTTTGTTTTGTTTGTTTTTAATAAACGACTAAAACCATATATCTTAGGCTCTAAACAGCACCTTCTCCTTATGGAGCCAGTGCTCCCATTTCTCTGGATAAAGCACAGGCCCTGCTTTTTCATGGTAGAAAGTCACTGTAGTGAAAACTTCACAGCGAAGGGCTTTATAGTGTGTTGTATACTGATTCCTCCACAACATGTTTATTTTTTTATTTTAACCATCTCCTGTGATTAATAAAAAATTGCTCTTGGATAGCTTAATATTCAGTTTTAAATATGGCTCTAAAAATTGTGATTTTGAATGGTGTTGGTATGGATAAAAAAGAATGTATACCCAGATTTAGCACAGTGTGAGCCCTGTTGTTATTTTTACACTTTGTACTGTGGTCAGTCTGAAATCTACAGCTGTTGCCCCACAGGGAGTTTCTGGCCTTGGTGGGCTCAGAGAAGGCCAGGGGCCTATTTCAAGAATGCGGTTTTGTCGAAACTCAGAGTTTGTTAACCCCAAAATGAGGGCAACTCGGAGTTTTCGGTTTCAGAAACGGAGGTAACTTAAACCCGTGAAGCGGGGTAAGTTAAACCCTCATTCATATTCTAGAAAGTAACTACATGTCCAAGGTTCACTAATTATCGGAGAGAGGCCTCGCAGTTTGGTCTTTATGTAACCTCAAACTGAAGCATACTTTAAAACAAAATATAAACTTTTGACACATTAAATTACAGTTAAAAATGAGCTATTGGGGAAAAAATAGCAAGAAAAGAGTACAGACTCGCTCGTACAATGCAGTATCACTCACACAATGAGTCAGTGTCTGCCAAAGGTCAGCAGAGCATTGTATGAAAGAAGCCTATTGTGTCTTACTTGACTTTTGCTAAGAGTTAACTTTTCACCCTTTTGCTTCTTGTACTCCTTATACAGGATAAGTCAAGGATAACAAGTGATTGTGGCTTTATGAGTCATCTCACTGTGTCATTTTCTTTCTCTGATACAGTAGATGGAGACAGACTGGTGATGAAGGGTGCAAATCTGACCAGTCGGGAGATGCTGAGTGCATTTCAGTCACGCTGCATAGACAAGGACCCACAGACAAAAGCTGCAATGAAGAAGTGATCATTGCTTGTTGAATATATCTGTATTTATCTGTGTATATTGTTGGATCTCTGTAATAAAAGAATTTCATTAAATGTAGTAATAAAAGAATTTCATTAAATGTAGGTTTTCTGATCTTTGAACTTTGATTTGCTGAAGCCACTCTATTGATTGTGATGTAACATTGAGTGAGTTACCCCTTTTCTTCTTGAGTCACGTTCCAAATTCATCTGCCATTTAAGAATAAAATCCAGCCAGATGGTCTTTGTTGTAATTATGAAATACAATTTACTACAGTCAAAAGTGGAGAAAAAAAAAAAAAACGAAGACCTTCATCTTAAGACGAAGTAGTCTGGAAATCGCCATCATTTATGCTTATGTTCTCTATACTGAAGACTGAAGAATGCTCTAAGTACTAAAAATGTGCTGTCAGCAGCATGGGGCCATGCTGTGTCCTTGCATAATGTCCAATTTTCTTGATAAAAAAAGAACATTCCAGCATTTGTGTGAACATTATGCAAGCTCCAACCTTTGACACAGCAGGCTTAAATGTAATTTTGCACAGTCTTAGATGCAGCCCTGCTGAAAAGAAAGAGGAGTAAGGCACAGATTGGCCTGACTGAAGTCTTGTCCCCTCAACTATCCTTTGTTCAATTAGCATCTTTCAAAAACTATTGCATTCATGTTTTTCACAGAGAAAGTGTGTTTTCATCACTTTTGCTGTTAAATTGAAATATGTTTATGATGGGCTTGATGAGCTAAATAACACTCCAAGTAAAATTGGTTATTATTTGCCATTTAAGTATCCTTTGTAAAATGTTTTAAGGTGTAACTGCAGCTTCATTTGTAAATATTTATTAATAGTACAGTTATGAGCCAGTAATGTGAACATATTTTGAATCGTGAAGCTGTAAAAAAAATCTGTATCTGGTGTTAATTCTTTTTTTTTTTTGTAATAATAGTAGTTCATTATTAAATACTAATTGGTTTCTCACTTTCTAATTAGCAATTTGGTCCACAGTATTAGTGTTAATAAATCAATAAATGGTTTTAATAAAAATCTGTAGTCTTAAATGTTAGTAGATTGTTAATATATGGATTTTGGTTGACATTGTTTAACCCCTTATTTCTACAAATATGCTGCTGACAATCTAATCAGACAAAAAGATTATTTTTTTGACAACTTGTCAACTTGGATATGTTTAATGGCTTATCTAAAAAGAAAACATTTTATATCCAAAGGGATGGTACGTACACAATTAGCTTAAAATGTTTTAAAAACATGAAGGTGCCGCACCTTTCGGTGAAAAATTCCATTCAAAACCTCCTAATGAGAAAACCTATTTAGCTATAGATGCTAATAGCTGGGGGGCTAGGGGCAGATGAGAAAACCTATTTAGCTATAGATGCTAATAACTGGGGGGCTAGGGGCAGATGAGAAAACCCATTTAGCTATAGATGCTAATAGCTGGGGGGCTAGGGGCAGATGAGAAAACCTATTTAGCTATAGATGCTAATAACTGGGGGGCTAGGGGCAGGAAGTTCTATACTGTGACGTTGCGGGCTGTGATTGGTTCCTACCGCGCTGCTGAGCGACAGGCTGGCCCTTTAAAAGCGCTCTGTTCCCATAGTGAAGGAGATTTGAGCACATAGTCGATCCGCTGTTCTTGAGGGTATCTTATCAGAAACTCCAAACATGGTTGAGAAGTTTGTTGGGACATGGAAAATGGTTTCCAGCGAGAACTTTGATGACTACATGAAAGCAATTGGTAGGAGCATGTGTGGTATAATGTTGTCACCTGCTAAATGTACTGAAACGTTATGCTTTTTTTGGTTTAGGCTATAATTCCGACATAACGCTAACTTTATTGCTATGTTAATTGTAAAGTAAACTACTAAAGATGTAATAGCCTATGGGAATAATGAAACAAAGTTTCTTTGGCTGTTTGATATTAAAATATTTTAATGATTAAAATATTATCAGTCAGCATCTGAATTTGCTCCTCTACTTTCAGAAGCTTCATGTATATTCTATTCGATGCACTTTGATGCTCCAGCCTTCCCTCTTTGCAGGTGTGGGATTTGCAACCCGGCAGGTGGGCAACCGGACCAAACCCAATTTGATAGTGACTGTGGAAGACCAAGGGATTATATGTATGAAGTCTCAGAGTACCTTCAAAACTGTTGAAATGAAATTCAAGCTCAACGAGCCATTTGATGAGACGACCGCCGACGACAGGAAGACGAGGGTTAGTGTGGTCTGAGGGGCAGAAAACACAATCACAACGCCTGTTATGTGCAGGAATTAACGGGGTTTCTCTGTTCTGTGCGCTGCAGACCGTGGTGACCCTGGAGAACGGTAAACTTGTGCAGAAACAGAGCTGGGATGGCAAAGAAACGAATATCGAGAGGGAGATCTCAGATGGGAAATTGATAGCGGTGAGAGTTTTGTTTCTCCAGAATAAATAAATCCATTTGTAAAATGACTTCATCACTCACACATATCCTTGAATTTTTACTATGTACATCACAGCCTTTTAATTTGATGATTAAGCTGTAATTTATAGACTGCCAATACAAGTGTTGTATGTATCTGCATCTTCATGTAAGTGTAATTCTAGTCTAATGGAGGAAACTATACAGTCACTAAACACTTAAAAACCACAGACACTCCTATAGGAGACTCTATATTGTATTATTAACTGTTTTAATTCAGTATTAACACTTATTATAGAAATTTATGGTAGAGTAGCCTATGTGTAATAACTCCCCTAACTCATAATGTATGCAGGAATTCACCTTCACCTTCTTTACAGCTGCACCTTTTTCAGTCTTCACACCTCACCTGATCTCTCCCTTTCCCACAGAAATGCATAATGGGAGATGTGGTCGCAGTGAGGACGTACGTAAAGGAGGCATGATGGACTCCCTTGAGCCCCCTCATTGGATGGATTGCTGGATGACAGGCTCAGTTCAGTGAGCAAGTGACCATGCTACAGTGTTAGCATGTTCTGCTCTTCTTATTCATTTATCTTCACTGTGTTGCCAACATCAAATTTCTGTTCTCCAACATGACACATTTGGAGTTATTGTGGTGATTTGAATAAAATGAATGAAAATATGTCAAAAATGTTCTCTGTGTGTTAATTGAATGTTAATTGTTGGCTGGTTTATCCCTGAGGACATGGTGCTTGGTGAATGTTGCTGTAATTATTCCACACAAGCTCTGTTTTTTCCAAGTACTTTTGCTTCAGTACGTTTTTTATGCTTCCTTATTTTGATTAGAGGACAAAAGGGTCCAAACACATTCCTGACCTAAAGGTCAAGATGCAAACAGGGATGACATATGATGTGTGCTGGCAGGGACTCTTTGAAGAATGTGAACACTTCAGTAGTAGTGAGAGCATCATGTAGAGAGGTCAGTGAAGAAATGTGTCCCAACTTCCTGTTGGGAGGTTGAACACTTTCCGTTGCTCATGTATTGGCAGTTTTACTGTATGTACATGGAGAAACTAAAAACATTACAGGTCATCCCCACAGACATCCCCACCCTTTGGCCACTGGTCAAGCATGTGTTTCTGTGTGCTGAGGGGATTGTTCCAGAGGCAGTGGCCACTTTCCATGACAGGAAACGGAGATTATTGCACTGGTTGGAACTAATTGTCCAAACAGGTGAAAGCGTGGGCCAACACTCTTGTTATCCTCTGCTCGGACAATGGTACTGGATATACAGTATTTTAACTTTTGGGGCGATGCCAAGTGGATGAAAATATCACAGTGGTCTAGCAAAGGTCAGAGTTGTATAAATGTATCACTTGTCACTGTGTTTTTGATGTGACATGTACTTCACTATGCTTTATGAACAATTTATGAACAACAGGCTATAACCACTATAACCTATGTGACCCTTGGGAAAATAACACAGCACCAGTCTGAAGCAGATCGAGGTACACATTTCTTTATACACTTATTTATACACACTTTCTCATACACAACAAAAGATAAGAAACTTGACATTGCAGTGGTTTTTTTTTTTTTGTCATTTGATTGCACTCAGATTTAAAGTACAGTGCCTTGCATGATTATATATTCTTGTATCCCTGAGGTCCTGTGTCATAATCTGTAATGAGTATATAATGTGCCTAACAAGTGTAATTTCCTAAATAAAGTTATGTTTTATCAAATTACCACAGACTAACTGACACCCAGAAAACCTGGGACCAGGTAATGTTTCCATATTAGGTGCTAGTTAGCTTCTGGGTCTTGTGCCTAAGTACTAGGCGCCATCACATCTGTGGCTGGGAAAGAAAAAACATCTTGATCAACTTAAACTGAGGAGATGCTGCTTTTCTTCGTGCATACTGCTCAAAATGCAGTGGATTCTTTATGCACATTATAAAAGTACTCTAAAAACAAGATTATTTTCTCACAGTCAGAGAGAAAAGATCACATCTGCTACAGATTGACTTACAGGTGCAACAGTTGTGATCCACAGGCATACCCGTCACTTTGTTTGAATAACTGCGGGGAGCGAGGCAGATCTCCACCTCCCTGTTTCATCTCTTGATTTGATGGTCCATAGTGTGTCCTCATGGTCTAAATTATGACTTGGAAACTGAAAAGACAGTTCAATGGAATGTCAGCCACATTCTGTAAGTGTAAGTGTAAGTGTAATTTTTCCCATGAGTTGCAGTTTCAGTATATACAGTAAATAAGTAAAGCTGTAAAATACTGTTGCAAAAATATACAGACATGGACAGTGAGGCAGAGATCCTCTTTGACCATCTGAAATAATATGTTTTAGCCTAAGACCTAATGGGATAGAAAGGGAGGTTTTCTACTCTAGAGGAAAGGTCCTGATCTTTCTCTGCTGCACACAGCTGATGGAGGCGGATGTTACACCGGCAGAGTGATTTCAGAGTGCAAATTAGGAAACTGCTCAGGAAGGAGGAAGATAGTGAGAGGCCTGCTGAGACCTAACTGGCAGAGAATGACAAAATGAAAACAAAAGGACCCCAGGATGAACTGTATTTGTGAGATTCATTGTGGTCAGTTCTCAAAGTTGACTATTTTATGTGGAACATATACAAGAAAATGCACAGAGGTATATAGAAAAAATGGCAAATACAGTACTGTATGTCACTGAAAGTGACTCACACAATACTCATGCACCACAAACTGCTGATTTTTCCCATTATTGCCTGCTGTTTGCACGGGTTTGAGTGTGTGGGTGTGTGTTCTCAGATCTGATAGACAAAGGTATCTTGCTGACACTGGGGTTGTTTTGTGTTAACAAAGATTAAGTTGAATGAAGTCATATCCTTTGCAAAACATCTGGAAAGCTACACTTGAGTTGTAGTGTTGACACCCATCCTCTGCTTGACCTTCACTTAAACTCTGTCAAACAAAAACACCTTCCATGTTTGGATCAGCAAGAGGAAAGAAACACTGATTTATGAGTTATAAATTCTTTATATTGCATTAGCAAAATGCATTAAAAAGCTACTCCAATAGTACAATTTGAACAGTGTTTCCATCAAGAGTAGCCTCATTCTTTAATTCAAAGATGCTGAAATACAAGAAAGGAGATATGATTTTTGTGAATGATGTGTAGTGTCTGGCGCTGTGAAAGTTCAGTCACAACAATCTGCAATGTGGAGAACAGAGTCTGGGCTTTTCCACCCAAGAATCACAAAAAATATAAATAGACAGATAACAGTTTTAAAAAGCGAGAGTTGGTTTCCTTGCATGATAGGATGGCTTTTAATTGAGTTGTGTGACTGTGACATTTGAATTAAGGAGATGAACTGAGCAGGGACTTTTATAACATAACAAATTCAAGACAGGCGATTTCACTAAAAAGCTAGAATTTGTATTTTTATGGTCATTTTTCTACCTTAAGCTTTACCTGTCAGAACAAATGTTATGCTTGTCCTTAAGAAATGTACATTTGAACACTGTTTTTAGCCATAAATTCTACATTCATATGGTAAGACTGTAAATCATTATGTCAAAAATGATATGCCAGAAAACTGCACTACCTAAGCTTCATACATCTTGATGTCAACTTTCTCATTGTGGTTTGCTGTTGAGTCTGAATATCCTTGGTTTTAGGGAAATGCAACCAAAAACAGGACAAGCAGACTATCCTGTCTGTACCTACAGCTCAAATCTCACTCTATGTTTATCAACTTAGGTTTTTACTTGCAGGCATGGGAATGGCCTTGGGACCAACCCCCACCTATCTCATCAAGTCTAGGACGACCAGCCTCCACGTTCTCTCAAAACATCGAGCAACCATCAGTCTTACCTCAGTCCTCTCCACAGGGCCTGCGGCACCTACCTGTGCCCATCCAAAATCGGTCTCCAAGCAACCAAACAGCTGGGCAGAACTATGTCAGTAAAGGCCTCACAGAACCGTAGGGGAGGCAAGTTGCCATGCACTGCGCTTTCTTTCCATTAAACCTCGCAATCCAAATAGACTTAAGAGTGAACTCTGGTTTCATCAAAAAGTCTCTGAATGTTATGCAAGCTGTGCCCTGTCTGGTCACACAGACTATTATTGTCCTTAAAACACATGTCTGGGACTCCTGGAGGAACACTGAATAGCAGTGTCGACTTTTTGATTAAATCCCATACCCCAAATCTTTAATATTAGCAATTTACATATATGTTATTACCACAAATCAACAGTCATTACTGCTTAACTCTGCATACTTTGTCCACTTTCACTGTACACATATTAATATACACTACATACTCTTGTCAAATTATCAGGTATACCTATGCAATCTGATACACAATTAATATACACTACACACTCTTGTCAATTTATCAGGTATACCTATGCAATCTGATACAGAGAGGTGTTTCTGTTCTTCAGCCTCACGGGGTGAACTCATACAGTATCAGTATCATTCAGTGCAACAGCATCACAAAGTGCAGCCTCCAAAATGTTCACAGTAAAAAAAAACCTCTAAAATATTTAAAACAAACAGCAAACATTATCATCTTCATGAATGTAGGATTTATTGCAGGACAGGACTGTTGTATTAGGCCCTTGTAGTTTTCAACTGGTGTACATAATACTGGCAACTGATTGTTCAATAGAGCCTGTTGCAACAGACGCTTGGGATCTGACGCTTCTCGTTACAGTCGACGTATCTGTAGGAGTAATCTGACTATTCAGAGCGTTCATGCAACCCTTTAAGTTGTCCTTCTGATGTTTCTCAAACATCTGAGTTGCAGTGATAGTGGCATTACTCATTCGGCAGAACTTGTAGTACACCGGAATTGTTTGCACTTTATTTTAAAATTGCATAGCAGAGTTTTTTCCCCGTCCCATTCAATAATTTTATTTGCTGTTTATTTTTTTGAAAACAAAACCATGAGATGTTGGGAGCTATTCAGAGGTTTAGAATTGGGCCACTCCATCGGGATGTCAGAGGTCAGGGTTAGCTAAAGAATGCAGACTGAAAGTCAAGTAGTATGAGAATCTTGAGACTTATTAATATGTGTGACCAGCTGGACTGCACGGTTAGTGGGGGTAAAATTCTTAGCTTACTAGCTAGGGTCACTGACCTGGAATGAGCCTTAATTACTGTGTCAAGCTGAAATTAGAATTTTGATAAAGGTAGTGCTTTCAGACTATTGTCACTTTATATAGCATATCTATAGAGTCAAACAAGTTCTAAAGGCTTTTGTACTGTATACGTGGAAATACATTTTTACCTTTGATTACAACACAAATAATCACTGCTTTTCAAGTCACCGCACCAGGAGTTCTGCATTGTTTGGCTTAGAGTGATTGTACTGCATAGCTCAGAGGAAGGATGGTGTAAATCTTTAGAGTGAGGCTATACAAACCAGACCCTACACAATAGTTTCCCCTAGAGCTGTAACCCAAATTTAGCACTTCTATCCCTAAGCATGTTTTCCTGACTGGGACTATTTAAAACAGATAAAAGAAGGCTAGGCAATAAAACCTTAGGCAGTGTTGGCGTTTTTTTGCTCCATCAAAAGTCATTACAGTGTTGGGTTTATTCCCTCCTCCTCCTGTGACTACTGTGTGACAAGACATGTGATCTGTAATCTGGAGGGGGAAATGCTGGTAGGGGGGAGAGAGGAATG